CTTAATCACATCACATATGAGGTACTATTCACTCTTTTGCCATATAAGGTAACATTCTCAGGTTCCAAGGATTAGGGCATGGATATATCTTTGAGGGCCATAATTCAGCTCACTTCATTACTTATCACATGAAATTGTCCAGACTAAGTGGACTCAAACTGAAAATTACCATTCAGATTTTGGTGCCCTGAGGGAGGGCCTGAGAGAGTCCCTTGTCAGGACAAACATTAACTATCTTGACCCTCCTGATACAAGTGGAACTCAAAGAGAGTGAGATGGGACTACACACAGTTTATGTCCTTTCATGACAAATCTCCACACACTTTTCTCTTTCCATCAGGCACTGCTGGGTACCAAATGATGTGGTGCACATGGGTCCCAACCATGTTGAGGAACTTTCTGGATGTGGGGCCACTCCACTCTCAGTCCCGAGTAAGTATGAGTGTTAACCTTCTTCAAGAAGCTGATGATGTCTGTGTTCTCCTCTACGTTCACAAGGTGGCAATGGTAGTACCAACATGGACACACAGTTCTCACTGGGCTGTCAAACAACTGTCTCTTGCTGGCAAAGGCCCTGTTTCCCACCATGACCATGTAATCCTGCAAGGTCAGAGCTGGAGAACACAGGGGCCAAACTTTGGGTTTTGATCAGGGTCTGTGGGTGTCTATGCATCTATGTGTGTATGTGTATGCATGTTTGTTGTATATGTGTGTCTCCTTGAGTATTTCTTGGGTGTGTGTGTGTGTGTAGGGGTCTGCCTGATCATCTTTTGTGTGTGTCATGCTGTCTTTCCTTGTGAGTTTGGCCACCTGTCCTCATCAGTGTCTACTGTGACTCCTCTTTTGGCATCTCTGAGTGATGCTAAGTTGAGTGGGACATGAAATAGAAGATCCTGTAGAGAGAGCTCTGAAAGGAAGGTCCTGTCTACAACATAGCACTGACCAGAAACTGGGATTAAAAAAATGAGAGTAGTCATCTGAATCTATTTGTGACCCTGGGGTATGAAATAACATATGGAGAATATGCTTGATGAAATGAGTTTGGAGTAAGCTCTGAATTTGCAGCTTCCTAAAGCTACATCATAGTAACTGTGTGCCCTCTGCAAGTATCCCAACCCGTCAGATTCTCTTTTCCTCATCTGTAAAGTAATGTTATATGAGGACATGGTACAAACCTCCAGAGGACAAAATGTGATACATAATAGGTGCTCAGAAACCTCTTCTACCTCTGCTGAGATAGAATTTTTCTCACTTTTTGTCCCTTCCTGATTCTATCCTTTATAAAGATTTAAATTATGTGGCATCCAAGCTGTGAACACCTCTGGCTCTTTCCTGGTCCTCTCCCAGCCGACTCCCCACTACTTACTCTGCTTGAAGTGATCGAGTCCTGCTGTGGGCTACATGGACTCCCTGGACCACAGGGCTTCCCTTCACCTCTTGTTAAAAGCCTAAGGTTTTCCTGAGGGTGACCTGCAGCTTCTTGTCCAGACCTTTAGTTCTATGAAAACATCCTCATGTGGGGTCAAAGTCAAAGCCACCATTATCCTGGTGGGTGCTGGCAGGTCCTAGCCCTTGAATCACCTAGTCTCCAGTAGCCCACTCCCTTCTCATGAATCCCCAGGTAGGGAGGTACCCTGACTGTGGTCAGACCTGTGAGCCCAGGCCCAGGGGTGACTGTTTCTGGAGGTCCTGGAAAGCATCTAACAGAGTCTCCTGCCATATGACAAAGATAAATAGCTCACTGAATATCTCAGTGTTTCTCTCTCTTTCTCTTTCTCTCTGTCCCTCCCTCCCTCCCTCTCTCTCACCAGAAGATTGAAACTCAGGATGCTGTTCACCAGGTAACACTCTAGTCTACTGTCATGTTGACACTAGAAGTATCCTGAGTTGCTAAGTGTATTAGTTTCCTAGGGTTGCCATAATAAATTACATAAACTGTGTAGCTTAAAACAACAGAAATTTCTTCTCTCACAGTTCTAGAGGCTAGAAGTCTGAAATCAAGGCATTGGTAGGACTGGTTCCTTCTGTAGGTGCTGAGGAAGAATCTCTTCCTTGCCTCTTTTCTAGTTTCTAATGGTTGTTAGCAATCCTTGGCATTCTTTAGCTTGTAGATGTATCACTGTATCCCGCTTGACACATGACATTCTCCCTTGTGTGTGTCTGTTTCTCTGTGCCCCAAATTTCCTCTTTTTATGAAGACACTAGTCAGTGGATTGGGGCCCACCCTAACAAAGTATTGCCTCATCCTAACTTTATTACATCAGCAAAGACCTATTTTCCAAATAGGGTTACATACATAGGTCTGGGGGTTAGGACTTGAACATGTCTTTTTGGGGGACACAGTTCAACTCACAGCATGAGGGGATGGGAATCACTGGCTGAGGATACAAAGAACATCCTGCCCTTGGCTTCATTTCTTACCCTTTGGTCCCTGAGCACCCCGCCATTTTTGTTTTTTTCATTATTGAGTTGTAGGAGTTGTTTCTGGGTATTCTTTGAGATATATGTTTTGCAAATATTTTCTCCAGGCCATGCTGTACTTATATGTTTTCTTAATTTTTGAGAAACTAAATCAACCTTTAATTTTGATGAGATGGAATTTATCATGTTTTCCTTTAATGATTATTGATTTCTCTGATCTTTCTAAGAAGCTTTGCCTAACCTCAAGTCACAAAGAGGATCTGTTCAGTATAAACCAGGATTCTTTTCAGGTATTATGCAATAAAACTTAAACAGGAGAGAGGGAGATGAGGGAAAGAAAGAGAGAGGGAAAGAGAGAGAGAGAGAAAAAATGCAAACAGAAAACAGTATGACAGAAAAGAACATTTCTGATGTCAAATGAGGCTTTGATAAGCTGTAAGACAGCAGATTTGGAGAGATCCCACGGCAGAAAGCTTGCACGTCCTCCCCAAGGGCTCTGGAAGCACAGGCTTCAGAAGCCTCCGCAGCGGCAGTAACAGTTCAGGTCCCTGAGAATAATTGTCCAGCAGACACCAACATGGACTCAAGGGAGCCTCATCAAGGTGAGAGGCTTCACAGGCTTAGAGCATAATGGAAGGGGAGAGAGCAGCAGTGGCTCCAAGGCACCGGGCTGTGGTAGGTATGGGATCTGCAAGGTGAGAGAAAGGAGGCCATTGTATCTAAGGATGAAGCCATGAACTCTGCTGGGAGGGTTGCCCCATGTTTTGTGTGGGATGGCCTGTCCTCTAGAGGGAGTGGAGGCTGCTCACGGAAAGACCCCATGCCACATTTTGCACTGAAAAGAGAAAGTTGAGATTAGGAGATTTCAAATATGGGTGAAGGGTTATACAGGGAGAGTGTGGTCACAGGAAAATAAAGGCTAGGATCTCAGGACCTAACATGTTAACTTTTCTCAAATGTTACAGCATCTTAAAAACCACTCACTGAGAGAAAAGGCAGTATTTGAAGCTGATTTGTCCCTGAGAAATAGGAACTCTGATAAAAATGACTGAAAAATGGGAAAATTTCCCCAAACGTGTTTAAATTCAGTGTGGCCTAAGCACTGTCACTGATTGAGTGTCACCATGGTGAAAATGGGTTTGAGAGGGTTTTTCTTTTCTGTTTTTTGTATGCTTCTGCCTCTAGTTACTGCTTCTATGTGGAGTTCTTTCATATTCATGGATGTGGCTTGTGACCTTTTTATAAGTCATTCCAACCCCTCAAAGCATGGAATTGTGGAGTGGGGGTGGGGGGGCGGTTTGGAGTGTCACCAGTCCTGACTTACAGGGGCTGGAGGAGCCACATCCACTTAAAGGGCAGGTGGTGTAGGCTGGGCTGCTGAAGAAGGGCTCAGGCTCTACGAGATGTCAGTGACACCCTTCTGGCTCAGCCTGAGCAGAATCAGAAAATGAAAAATGAGATCATCAGGAAAAATTAAAATAAATTTTTCAGTCTTGAATTATTACAGGGGGATAGGGACTTCATCTTTAGACAGTTTGCCTTGTGAACTCAGTTCTCTGAAGGGTCTAAGAAAAGTCATTTATTTTAAGTTTGTTTAGCTTTTTTTGCTGTTGTGAGAATGGGGGGTTTGACTTTCAAATCCATCACATGTTGGAGCTGAAACAAGAAGTCTGAACATATTTTTTATATTATCCAAATGCTATCTTTCCTGTAAACATAGTAAAGAAAGAGTCAGGCAGCGGGCAGAGAGAAGGTAGGCCTAGGGGTCCTCTCAGATGTATTCTCTTTTTTAAAAATATTTATTTTATTGATTTATTTATTTGGCTGCGACGGGTCTTAGGTACAACACATGGGATCTTCGTTGCTGAGTGAGGAATCTTTGTTGTGGCATGCAGGATCTCTCTTTTTTTTTTAGTTGCAGCACGTGGGATCTTTAGTTGCAGCATGCGGGATCTTTAGTTGCGGCATGTAAACTCTTAGTTGCGGCATATGGGATCTAGTTCCCTGATCAGGGATCGATCCTGTTAATACCTGAGACTGGCAGAAAAGCTATGGAATTCGCCTGGGAAGATGTCATTTAGGGGAGCTCTCGACCCAAAAAGCAAGAAAGGCTCAACAGAACACGAGTGTTTAGAGTAAAGGGAAAAATAAATCCATTTTAGTTTTGTACCTTAGATAACACTACTCAAACAAAAATTAGCAGCCTAATTAAATTAGATAATTAATGTACTACACATAATGTAGGGCCTAACTCATAGTAAACATTTAAAAATTTGTTCTTAGTGCTACTAGTATTGCTGCTGCTATTATTACTATTATTATTTTGTAGTTATTGTTGTTAGTGATTATTATTAGTGATTGGGTCTGAACCAGAAACTCTTAGGCCACTATCAGTCTCTTCTCACTTTTCACTCCCACATCTCATCATTCTCAGTCCATTCTTCTCAATTGTCTCTGATTCTGCTCAAAGGGGCAACTCAGTACTGGGTATGGGAAATTGATATAGATTTATCTTTCAAACCAGACTGTCGACCTGTGAGGTGAGCAAAGGGACAGGAGGGCCTGAGGGTCACGCTCCCTCAGGCAGAGTATTTGCAGACAGCCAAAAAGGAGGCAGAACAGGTGATGTCATTCCATGTGCCGTCCACCAGGAGTGTCACACAATGTTCCTCAGAACCAGCTCACCATCATGCCAATTTTGGTAGGTCACCCTCTTTCCTGTCAGAGCCACAGACTGGCCATCAGTCTCCTCATTTGTGATGCCCAGGAAGGCCCCTCCACTGGCTATATCCTGGATGGCCTTGTTTTCTTCAGCATTAGTAGGAATGGCCACAGAGGCCTGGAACTGGGCACACAGAGTCTTCACTTCATCAAAGGTCATCTTTTCACCATTGGTAAAATAAAACTTTTTCCCAACTTTTTTGCCCAAAGAGAAGATCAGCCCTAAAATGGGAAAATATAGGTGACACTGGCTTGTCTCTAAGTCCAGCTCAAGATATTTTTCTGGACAAAGCCTTCAACAGTAGAGTTGCCACATAAAATACAATATGTCCAGTTATATTTGAATTATAAACAATGAAATTTTTTTAGTATAATTGTCTCACATGCAATTTTTAGGACATACTTAATACGAAAAAAAAATTAGTTGTTGTTTACCTGAAATTCAAGTTTAACTGGGTGTCCTATATTTTTCTTTGTTAAATCTAGCAGCCCTAACCTGAAGAAACAGAATGGAACAAAGGCCTTTGTCCTTTTGGACCAGAGTTCTAGAATACATATAATTGGAATTCTAAGTTTTACCCCAATATTAACTTAAAAATAAATTTAAATGTCTGAGAATATTTGTCCTAGGCCAGGAAACAGGTTAGCCTCATTGCCAGTTCTCAGCAACAGCATAACAAAGGGAAAGAGGCATAGGTCCCATTTTCAGTGACACATATGTACACTGATAGTAAAGATAAAGGATCAGGGTCTCTGGTATCAGACTGACTTCAATTTATAAACTGCCTCTGCCACTTATTAGCTCTGTGCATTTGAGCAAATTTTGTAATTTTCCTTTGCTTCCGTTTCTACCAAAAGGTTGTTGTGAGGATTTCACGAGGTCAGAATATGAAAAACACCTATCCAGGTACTAGAAAATTACATGTATTCAATAAATATTTGTTGCCTTCCACTTTCCCAAACTTCAATCTGCCTGAAAAGTAAGAGAGAAGGCTTACATTTTTTGAGCTGGTCCAGTTCTGATTGCTGAGCTGCTCTTTCTGAAGTAGCCTGGCTAATATAGTTACCTAGAAAATTAAAACAAAGTGAAAGAGCATTGTTGAAAAGGCATGTAAGAACTACAAGGGGGTAGGGTACCTTTTCAAACTAAAAAAAAAAAAAAAAAATCAAGATAAAAATTTCTTTTATACTGATATCTGCTCTTTGAAGGAAAATGAAAAATATTTTAAGCATAAAGAAGGAAAAGTATCTCTATTTCCATCCAGCCCAAAACATCACTCCTCTGTTGAATGTATGTAAAGACACTTTGTACACGCATACACACCCACACGCACACACATACACTCCCTGTTGACCGAGCATTATAGCACTCCACGCGCCAAGCTATTCACTAATTGGTTTTTTCCCAAAACAAATAGCTCTATCATGGGTAAACTTGTGGAATAAAATACTTGAGGAATTATTATGAGCTGGTGAATATTGACTATAAAGATTGCAGGGTTTTGTCTTTGGGGAAGTTTTGTTTTTGTTGCTTTTTGTTTTGTTTTTCCCTGAGTTTGTTCTGTGAATCAGTAAACCAGGATTTTTGTGAGTTGCCCGTTATCCAAGAGGGGAGGGCATGAGGCAAGCTATGTGTAGTAGATGGCAAAAGATGACCTCAGTGTGGTACAGCTTCTCTCATTAAGAAATGGAGTTTATTTCCCCACTCCTTGAATCTGAGCATGCCTTGTAACTTGTTTTGACCAATGGAATGTGGCAGAAGCAATAATGTATGTGTCCTAAGCCTTCAGGAGGCCTTAAAGCTTCTGATCTTTCTTCTTTTGGAAATCCTGTAATCATCTCTATGTGAATAAGCCCAGGTGAGTCAAATGGAGGATGAGATCTGTGGCTCAGCTACGCTCATCACTACAGCTGATGGCCAAACAACAGCCAGACATGTAAGTGAGACCATTGGCCATCAGTTGACCACAGACACATGAGTGAGTCCAGCTGAGACCAGCAAAGAAATCACTTGATTCATAGATTCGTGATTTAAATAAATGGCTGTGTTTTGTTTGTTTCTCATGAGGTGAGAGATAACTGGCATACCATGTATCTACCATTGTTGTGAAAATAGGCATAACAAGCCCAACACATAGATAACCTATTTTATCCCTTTTGGACCAGAGCCTCACATTGGATTGTTTCAGCTGAAGGAGAGCCGAGGCTTCGCTCCTCCAGGAGGCACCTGATGAGGGTTTGGCTCTGAAGGGTTTGTGAGTCTGTATTCAGGCATTGATAGGAATCCCTTGAGGCTCTAAGTAACCTGGAGAAGCTAGAGGCTGCTGGGTCAGGAAGCAGAGTTGGGCATCTTCCCAGGAAGCAGCAGGAGAAGGGGCATCTCCCACATGGTACTCAGAGTTGCCAGACCCTGGGGGCCTTCAGCCTAGACCTTGCTGAAATAAATTCCTTACCCAAATCATCTCCAGGGTCTCCTTTTTGGCCCACTTGTCCTGGTAACCCAGGTGGCCCTGGCATTCCTTGAGGTCCTACCTTTCCAGGAGGGCCCTGAAAGCCTCTGAGTCCTTGACCTGTTGGAGGACCAAGGAAACATGACAGTATTTGCGTTCCTGCTCTGTTTCTCCAAAAGCATGATGCCCAATCCCTTCCCAGGAGAAAGGAGACACTGATCCAGGGCTCACATTCTGAACCGCTCTTTCTAATGACCATAGAAGGAAAGCCTCCTGTGTCCCATGGGATGGTCTGCCTTGAGGGTCAACTTCCTGAGCCGGCAGGACCACCAGGTGTCACCAGTTCCTGTGTGGAAGTTTGGGATGCCAGAGTCAGAGCTGTATCTCTCTTTTGAATTATAATTTGTAGTTGAGAGAAATACAAGCTACATGAATATGACATTATCCTCCTCACATCTCCAGGCAGTTTCCTTTGGAAGATAAAGAGTCACAGAGATAGAACAGCCTAAACTGTACCTGGTTCTCCCTTTTCTCCCTTGGCACCATCATGCCTATCTTTGCCTGGGAGGCCATTGATTCCTGAAGAACCACAGGCAATCACAGGGCAAGTCTTTTGCACATTCTCACAGTTTTCTGTTTCTGTACACGATGCTGTCACCACAATCAGGAGAAGCAGAGGGAGTGATGGAAACAGTGACATGGTCCTCACCTTGGTGTGGGAAAAATCAAGGAAGATTATCTCATCCTGTTCACTTAATCAACACATATTTACTGAACCTGCCCTTTTTCCTATAACCTATACTGGGCACAGGTGATATAGAGATGGGTGACCCATTCCTGGCCTCCAGATTGGGGATTTGGAAAAGTAAATCCTCCTGTGACGTTGTATTACTACTTCAGCAAAGGTAGTCATAACAGCTTGCATTGTCGGGGAGAAGGGGTTACCAGTGCCTGGCCTCTAGTGTTACTGCTAAAAGGCTAGGAGTGTGCTCTCTGTGTCCTTTGTGAGAGCAAATAGGCATAACATTGCCAGCTCACTCATGCCTGCTGACTTGGGGAGTGAACGTGAATGGAGACCCAGCTCTCTCTGTCTCACCTTTCACATTTGGGCCCATCTGCCACCTGCATCCCATCCTTATACCTGGACAGTCCATTGCCCTCAGTGCCAGTTAACCAACATCTACTCAGTGGCACTCACTAAGCTGCAGGCTAATGATCCGGAGAGGAAGAGTCACTGCTAGTTACTAACCTGGCCAGAATTAAGTTGAGTTTGTTTCCTCTTGATGTTTTATTTCCCACTGTAAGAGAGACTTTCCAGGGAGAGAATTTTCTCTGGAAATTTCTCACTATCTTGACCCAGGCAGGGTGCCAGATCCCTCTCTACTTCCTGGCAGGTATTCTGTGTGTCCTATGAGTCAAAACCACTGGCAATTAGAACACCTTCCTTGAATACCCTTCTCATTTCTCAAGCCTGACATTTTATGTCCTTCAAAGTCCTCTTCCAGCTGTCCCTCCCCCAGGAAACCTCAGCAGCCCAGCATCAAGGGTCTAACCCTTCTCGGCTCCCTTTGAAAACAAAGGCACAGTCTCATTTGCAAATGGTCAGGTGAATCCGGGAAAGTCACAGATACCCCAGCGTAAGCAGAGAAAGAGATACCCCCAGCATGGCTTCTGCCTGCCATCTCCCCACACACCCTAGAAAGTCTTTTCTAGGCCTCCAAGATCAAGTCAAATCCCTAGACATTGGATCCAGGACCCCAGAACCATTCACCAGAAAGGACTTACCACGGCTTCTGCAAAGCAGGGATACAGTCACGAGGAAACTGGCCCTCCAGCAGGGTGCCGGCAGGTGCCTTAGGTGGAGGGAGGAGGCTGGATTCAGTAACGCAAGGTCCAATCAAGCTTGTAAACAAGGACAGTATGGGCCTGACCTTCAACCCCAGATTAATAAGTCTTCTTAGAGCTGCACTAAACTCTTCTTAGGAGCATTTCCCAGGGGCTTCTGGTGCAGTGCTGGGTGGCTGTTTTCTTTAATACTGCACAGTTCTTCCTTTAAATCGCCATCATTTGGGCAGTCCTCATTGCTGAGTCAGCATGAGCTGGCTCACATGGTTAATCGTGTCGAGATTCTTGTCTGCAATGAGAAACGCAGAGGCGCCTGTGAATGTGCTCACGTGCTTGGGCACACTAACCGTGCACACAGACACGCAGGAGTGCACACACGCTCATCCACGAAGGCACGCACACCCCTTGCTGCCTTCCACATACCAAGACCACTCCTGCCTCAGGCTTTACACTTGGTTTTCTCCCAGCCTGAATGTCCCCTCCATCATGTCACCGGCTGGCTCTTTCTCTTCTATTGAGACATTCCTGTCTCAGAGAAATCTGTGTTGATAACTTTATCTAAGTGGTCCCACTCTCTATCCTCTTAACTTGCTTTATTTTCTTTCATATTACTTATACTCCATGATGTTGTATTCTATCTATTTACTTTTCTACTTTTTATTGTGGTAAAATATGAATAACATAAAATTTACCATTTTGACCATTATTAGGTATACAGTTTGGCCACATTAAGTACATTTACATTGTTGTGCAACCTTCACCACTACCCGTCTCCAGAATATTTTCATCATCCCAAACTGAAACTCTGTACCCATTAAATAATAACTCCCCATTTCCAACCCCCAGCCCCACCCCCGATCCTTGGTAACCACTGTTCTACTTTTTGTCTCTATGAATTTGACTACTCCAGGTGTCTTAGATAAGTGGAATAATATAGGGTTTGTCTTTTTGTGACAGGCTTATTTCACTTAGCATAATGTCTTCGAGGTTCATCCATGTTGCGGCAGGTATCAGAATTTCCTTCCTTTTTAAGTTTAAATAATATTCCATTATATGTAAATACCACATTTTGGAAGCTTCATTTTTACTAGCAGAAAAAAAACCTGGAAATAACCCAATTGCCCTTCAACAAGTGAATGGATAAATAAACCATGGAAAACTCACAGAAAAAAAAGGAACAGGCTCTTAATTAATACAATAACTTGGATGAATTTTAAGGACATTATGTTAAGTAAAATAAATATAATATCAAGAGTTTACAAACTGTATTATTCTTTTCATATAATATTCTTGAAATGACAAAATTGAATAATGGGGAGCATATCAGCAGTTGGCAGGGAATAGGGCTTCAGGGAAGGTATAAAGGTATAGCACAAGAAAGTTTCATTGTGGGTGATGGAATAGTTCTGTGCCTTAATTGTGGTGATTGCACAAACCTATGATTGCGATAACATTTCATAGAACTATACACCAAGAAAAAAAAATGCAGGTAAAAAATAGTTAAATTCAAATAACATCCATATCTTATTGTTGTATTGTTCCAATGTCAGTTTCCTGGTTTTGATACTTGCACTCTGGTACGTTAGATCCTACCATCGGTGAATGATGGATGAAGAGGACATGACACTTTTCTTTACTATTTTTTTCAACTTGTCTGTGAGATTAAAATTATTTCACATGAAAAAGTTTCCAAAGGGAGTCTCAAGGAAGCGGTGGGTGATCTAAAGATTATCCCTGCTTCCTTCAGTGCTTTGTCCAAGTTTTACAATGGAAATAGTCTGTACAATGGCTTGAAAGTGAGAAAAAGTAGGCCAGGTTCCCAAGGATAGTACTGTTCAGTCTGGTTGGTCTTAACAGTGTGAGATCCAAATGGTGAGAGATAAGGCATAAGCCTATCGATGATATGACTTATAAACTGTGTAAGACTTTGGACCTCCTCCCAAGGATCATTAGAGGAATTCCAATAGAAGAGGAATGATCACATTTGAACTTTTCAAAGCTTGTTTTGACTAAAATGTGGAGCAAGGTTGGAAGGGAGCAAGACGGGAAAAAAGCTGACCTGCAAGGAAGTACTTACTGTCATCTAAACGGCAGATGATGGTGGCCAGGATCAGGGTAGTGGCAGCTGGATCAAGAAGCTAGACACATTTGAGAAACATCTACAAGGTATAATAGGTAGAACTTGGGAGTTGGTTGGGTGTGAAATGGTGAGCAGAAAAAAGGCATTTGGGCATACAAGTTTCTGACTTGAATATCTGGGTGCCAGTTAACTTATTGTAGGGGGTATAATGGGTATCTTGTGAGTAAATGGCTTGAATCAGATGCTAGTGATCAAGAAGGGATGGAACAATAACTTTGTGAAGCAAAATGTATTCAATTCTGGACAACGTTTCTAATAGAGCTGTCATCAAATGCCCTTTTAGCTTAGGGTGGTGAGGGAACCCGTCACAGGAGCTTCAAACAGAGGTTGCAGAGCCATGTGGTGAGGGTGTGGTAGAGGCCTCCAAACACCAGAAGGAATATGGATGAGATTACCTTCCACGTCCTTTCCAACTAGATGGTCCTTGGCTTGTGGAAGGTCTGGTTTCCTCACTTCCTGCTGACCCAACCCCTGGGCCTGAAAAAACTGCAGGATGGTACAGAGCCACGTGCCTAAAGCAAAGGACAGAGACTGGGACATCCAGGGCCTAAAAAAGTCTGCTGGAAACTTGCTTATCTCTCTCCCCTACTCTTCAGCATCCAGACTTTCCCCTTGTTCCTACTCCAAAGTGGAGGAGGTAAAATGAGATAGCTGACTCCAGGTCACACTGGAAGTTCTGGCTTTGATCACTGTGCTTGTTTGTATTGAACACTTAGTCCAGAGGTCAGGAAGCTTCCTGGAACTGAGCTGGGAAGGGGTGGACATCTGGGTGGAGAGTCAATCTGAAAGTTGAGCCACTGCTCTGGATGCAGCTGAATCTCTTCCCATCCTCCACAGTCTCCAGTAGGCCTTTCCTATCATGAGATACCCCTTTCCACATGCATCAGCCCCTGATTACCCAGTCTGCACTCCACCTAATAAGGCTGCTGTACACATTTGTTCTGGACCTTAGGCCCTTCCCAGCACACCTCCACCAGACAACAGTGCTGCCTGTCTGACCTGTAGGAGGACTGCCTGCCCCTCTACATCACTTTCCTTTAATGGGATGGAATCCCAGCTCTGCCACTTCCTGGCCGTGTGACTTTGGCCAAGTTCTGTCTCCTTCAGATCCTGTTTCTTCATCTGTGGACCAGGACAACACTGCCTTGGCTATGCCGTGATATACTGTCTTCTGATCCACACTCGGAGTGCACGGCATGCAGCTTATCATACCATCCTGCTTAAGACAAGGCCTTCACTGCCTCCAGGATGGTGTTACAATAGCCTTCTTCCCATGGGAAGCAGTGTTCTTGGGCAACCTCAGCTGAGAGGTGAAGTTTGAGATTTGGAACCTGAAGGCTTGGTTTGGGCTCATGACTCTGAGTTTAGGCAGACCACATATTCTGGTTGAGCCTCAAATTTTAGCAGGAGGAGTGGGGCGAAGGTGTAGCAGACCTAGAAGGTGCTGGTCCTTGACCAAGAGCCTTTGCTTCAGGAGGATTTGGGGAGACACACCTGGGGGAGGGTGACAAACGGGAAATCAGGGCAGTTGTGCAGGCAAAAAAGCCTGAGGCCCAGGATTCCCTGCCAAGGAGGCTGCAGGAAGATTGTGGTCAAGCTCATTGACTCAAGGAGAGACTGTGTGTTGGGATCTTGGCAAGGATGGAGCTCCCAGGATATTCTCAAGTCAAGCTGCATCAAGAAACTGAGGGTCCCTTTTTCTCTCAGCTTCTCTC